GACAGCATAGCTCCTAGGATCATTGGGACACTCAAACCCCTCCACCACGATAAGGTGGCAGCCCCAGGAGAGGTGAAATAAATGATTGCATAAATATTCAACCCCTCTAAAGGGACTGACCTAATTTAACAGAGGTCAGTCAATTCAGGCCAGTAGTCTCACAGTGAGGGGAGCGGATCACCTGAGTGCCTTGCGGACTCGTCTACTCTCTGCCAGCCACATGGAGATGACATCAGTGCCATGACTGAGTGTGAGACTGACTACATAAACCTCTGTGTGAACAGCACCATCCCAACCAGAACAGTGAGCTGCTTCCCGAAAAACAAACCCTGGATCACTGAATGTCAGAGATGTGTGGTTAGGGATGAAGAAGATTATAGGCTTCAAGCAAAAGGAGGAGGATCAGATCGATGAGAGCCTGGACAGAGCAAATGAGATGAACACATTCTTCAGCAGGTTCAGTTCAGGGACAAGCTCATTATCATCTTCTCTTGTCCCCAGTCATACAAACATCCCTCCTTCCTGTGACCCACAGATTTCCTGTCAAACCTCAGATGTTTCATCTTCCACCTCAGTCATGGACTCTGCTGCTTCCACAAGTTTGTCTTCAACCAAATCAGGAGACCCAAGAGAAGGTTCCACTGTTGTGGAAGACATCCTGTCTGGTTCCAGTAGCAAAGAAAACTCAGCCATCTGTTATCCTGACATCTGACATCATGAAGGTTCTGGAAGACACTCCTTCTGGCCAACCCGAGTAAGCAGACAAGTACGTATCTGGACCCAATGCAGTTTGCTTATTGCCGTAGAATTGGGAGTTGAAGTTGAAGATGCCTTCATGCATCTGCTTCAACAAACCCACTGTCATCTGGACAAAGCAGGCAGCACTGTGAGGATTATGTTCTTTGATTTCACCAGTGCATTTAACACAATTCAGCCAGATCTGCTCTGTGAGAAACTCAAGAAGACGCAGATGGAGGCCTCAACAATCACCTGTATCTATGACTACCTCACCCACAGACCACAATTTGTGAGACTGAAAAACTGTGCATGTAACCAGATGGTCATCAACATAAGTGCCACAGGGGACTGTACTCTCACCACTCCTTTCCACTCTACACTTCAGATTCCTGTAACATTCATCCGACTCCTGTCATCTACAGAAATACTTGGATGACTTTGCAGTTGTTGGGTGTATCAGAGACGGACAAGAGGCTGAGTACAGACAAAACCAATGTTTCACTTGTTGATTTCAAGTGAAGCAGGATTAGATCCAACCCTATTTCCATTATGGGAGAAGTGGAGGCGGTTGGGGAATATAAATACCTCGGAAGTTTGTTGGGTCAACAGACTGGACTGGAGATGCAACAGTGAAGCCGTCTGTAAGAAGGACAGAGCAGACTGGACTCCTTGAGGAAGCCAAGATGCTTTAAGGTCTATAAGTCTGTTGAGAGAGTCATTTCTTCTACTGTCATCTGTTGGGGCCACAGCATCAGAACCAGGGACCTAAAAAGGCTCAACAACCTGATAAAGAAGGCTGGTTCTGTTCTGGGGACGACTGTGGAACCTCTGGAGATGGACAACCCTGAACACCATTTTCATGGGACTGTCATGGGAAAACAGAGTATCTTCAGTCAGAGGCTTCTTCAAATTCCCTGTAACACAGACCGCTACAAGAGATCTTTCCTACCAACAGCCATCTCAATCTACAATAATTTTTTGAAAAATTTTAATGTTACAACATTGTTGAATTTCCCTTTGGAATCAATAAAGTATTTTTGAAATTTAATCTGAATTTGAGTGCGTCTCCAGTGATGGTATAAAGACATCTGGTTGTTGATGTCAAAATGACAGGCAGCTTTCCTGCCTGCCATTACAGCATGAAGGCTGAAAAACACTCAAGCAATCAGAAATGTATAAGTCAGCGGATGGGTTTGTGCTGATTCAATAACATTTATGTATAATGATTAACCTCAGCAACAAGGAGGCTTTCATCCAGGAGCAGCAGATTAGCATTGCAAAAGCTAAAAAGTGTTTGGTTCAGTCTGTTTACCTGGAGCAGGGACGGCAGCCAAAGGAGCATCTACTAAAATGAATATTGATGTAATCATTATGTTACATATATTTTGTCGTTATTTTGTTAAAATTAGTTTTCACTCTGACATTACATTTTTCTTATTTTTAGTTATTTTTTGTCAAAAAAGTTACATTTTGTTGATCATGCTTGATCTGGAAAAGGCATAAAGTGGCAAAGCATCCAAAGGGCTGAATACCTTTTTAGGCATTATATTCTATGGTGTGTTGTGTGTAGAAAAAACAATACTATTTGGTGACAGTGGCTCAGGTAGGAGTTCATACTGTAACCAGTGGGTTGCTAGTTTGAAACCCCGATCTGTCTATCTCAATCATTCTGTCCTTGGGAAAGTACAGAATGATTGTCCTTACCCACTGGGTACCTTACCACCAGGTGTCCGTTTGCCCCAGGCCAGTTGTGGCTACAGTGTAGCCTACCACAATCGGTGTGTGAATGACCGCTTGTAGAGTGAAGTGGTTTGAAGTTCTCTGGACTCGATGAAGCGCTGTGTAAGGAAAGGCCATGTACCACTGTACTCATCCTACTTGAGTGGTTGCTGGAGGTGTAATCTTTTTCTGTGCTTCCAGTACGGTGTTGGGTGCGACCCACCAGGAGTGGTTGGACCTCCGGGTCCACAGCAGTACTCGTCGCTGGCGACTGCCTGGACTACAGTGTCTGTACAAGATGGAACCCTGAACAGAACTTAGTCTGGCTCTACAGACCGGCAGAAAAACCTTAGTTTGGTTTCTCTTTGCTCAATATTTGCAAAGTGTTCACCTGTTTGTATCATCAAAAATTAATTTGTAAATAGATTTTCTATTCTCACACTAACTGCATGTGTTTGGTGACAGTAGCTTTCAATCTGATGTAGCCCAGTAAGCCCAACCTATAAGTGGTTTTAATGGAATTAGTTTGAAGTTCTCGCTCCAGCAGATGGAGTCCCGTTACTCGTGCTGCCATCTGAGTAACTGGGATTTGAAAGGAAAGCTCTGACATTTGATTGGGGAGGAAAAAATGTTAAGAGCTAATCTTGTGGGACTTCTCACTTATACAACTGTTATCTAGCTTAAAAAGTTGCTAAAAATTGGAGACAGACTCAGAACTCCTCTGGAGACAAGAATAGACGTGGCAGTAGCTTTAATGCAGCTGAAGGACTGACTTGTTTCTGTTTCTGGTGTCTGTTTCTGCTGGGGGCTGTTTTCTTTGCAGATGTGCTTCTGTTGGTGTCGTCCGGTCACGGCCCCAAGCATACGCTGGAGCTGCTTTGCACTTGTAGACGTATTTCTGCTCCAGCACACCTGAACTGAGTCGCTACACCAGCAGCCATCAGGCTTCACCTGCAGCTCATTTGATTCAGGTGTTTTGGAGCTGGGATGCATCTACAAGTTGAAGGGTGGCAGATCTCCTGTTCTCAGAAAGAATCGGCAGCCATCTTGTTTTGGCTCTTGGGTAACTGTTTGATCATTCCTGCTCTGTGTTAGTTATTGGCCCTGTGTGTGGAAATTTTAAAATCAATTGAATTGTTGAAAGTGTTAACTTCAAGGGCTACTTGGTAACATAATTGTTTAGTGGGAAGATGGAGGTCTCAGCAGTATCTGCCAATGGATTTCTAACACATGTTCAGTGGGAGACTTGAGTAATGTCTTTTTTTTTATTCCTGCCTTTTAATAAATATTGTTTACAAATGGTCTGCTGGAAATTGGAATTTCTGAAATAAACTATTTTGTGTATAAAGTCTCTTGCTGTGTTTTCTGAACTTTGGAAATTTGGTTACTGCTTTCACCTCTTAAAAGCACCTCATTATCTTCAATCTGTATTCAGTTTTCTGCAGGATTATTTTGCCATGTAATCAGTGCACCGGTCCAAATGGCACATGTAGATTAATGGCATGTGTTAGCGGTGCGGTTAGCAGCTTCTACAACCCACTAGTTCTGTAAACATTCTCCATCAGTAGATGGGTGTGTGTTCTGAAACATATTTTCTTTGTACTACTTTTTGGACAAGTTTAGAAGCCCATCCTTACAGTCCTTGGACTCTTGAAGTGCCAGTTGTTATGGAAGTTCTCTATTAAAAAGTGAAAATACTGGTTAAATCAACAGCAAAGAAATGTGCATTTGTCTTTCAGGATCTTTTATTCAAAGTCCAACAAAAAGGCCATTGAAGATTCTCAGACAAAATGACAATAAAGTACATCCTTCTTTTAGTCTCATCCTGCAGTGCTTGTTACATAAGCAGTTCACACTTCCTTTTACAGAACCTCCCATTTCAACATCATACACAAAAAAGATGTAAGTCTCACACTGTCGGGTTCTACATCCTCTGACCTTTCTAAAATGAAAATAACCCTCAAAATACCCTGATCTCTCCTTAGTTCCTTTTTCCAGTAAATAAGCTAAAGTACAAAGTTTTCATAACAGTATTATGTCCTGTTGCTTGTACAATCCTAACTGAAGAATAGGGGTGGCAGCATCATGCTGTGGGAGTGTTTTGCTGCAGGAGAAACTGGTACATATCATAAGGAAAGAACATTATGTAGAAATATTGAAGCAACATCTAAAGACATCAGCCAGGAAGTTAAAGTTTGGGCACAGACCGACAGTATTCTAAGGGTTATTGTCCATTTGGAAGACCAGAGAGGTTTAAGGACAACAAAGTCAGTGTTTTGGTGTGGCTACAACAATGTCCAAAGGGCTGTTTCACAAACCAGGATACCAGACTAAGATGGGATCTTCCAGATATCCTGGCTTAATTAAACCTTCATTCAACTTGACAAAAGCTGCAATTCTGTGAAGCTAGCCTGCTCCGGACCAGGCTAACCGCCAGTCTTAGGCCTGAAGCCTTATCTGCTCAGTCAGCGCTCACACTGATCAGAAACCATTAAGTCTTGTCCATTATTCAATTTTCTTATCTCCTTTGGTCCTTTTTTTAATCATCCTGCATTAAAATACCATGAATTCATATTCAGTCAAGTACTATTATGACATTATTGTTAGAAAATAGAATTATCAATTTTAAAATGACCCATGTGGCCTCTCTTGCTGTTCGATTGTGTCTCTGAAGACCTCTGTTCTACGTTTGACACAAAGGCCTTAATAGACCATTGCAGAGTTAAGAGGATTAGAGAAATTATTGATATTATTGCAATCAAGTCAAGCCAAATTATTTGTAAAATACTTTACTGATGAATTTTAACCTAACTCAAAATAACGTTCACAAGATAAATTAACTATTTTTGCATATAATTATACAAATGCAGTTTAAATCACACAATATTTAAAACAAGTACTTATTTACATCATAAACATACATTTTGCCTCTAGAGGGTTGATAATAAAATACATTTTATCTATACATTTATACATTTTATAAACGCAGTTACAATTTATGGAGAAGAACTTTGCTGCAGCAGACAGAAAGGGGCGGGGACAGACCAGATGTCAGTCCCATACCTTATTTGCAAGTGGGGCCATTGTACTCCAGAACTGAAGGGGCGCTATTTCCTATCTCAGTTAAGGTGTGAAGGTTTTTTTTCTTTAGAAATCTTTTTGGATTCCAGTCATGATTAAAACATAATTATGAAATAGAATATATTTGTATATATAGTGGTATATCAATCAATCAATCAATCAAATTTTATTTGTATAGCACATTTCAGCAGCAAGGCATTTCAAAGTGCTTTACATAATTAAAATAAAAACAGCATGTAATAAACAGTGAGAAAGAGAAATAAAAAGCTGTAGAACTTTAGTTGAGACGCCGTCAACTGGGACTCCAACCCTTTGGACTTTAGTCAAAAGGCCATTTGACAAGGACTCTAACATCTCGTACTTTTTTTTTTTTTTTAAAGATAAAAACATTAAAGTCACTGAAACAGTGAGAAAGAGACATTTTGAAAAAGATTAAAAAAGATAAAAACATTAAAACCCGCCCCCCTTTGAGGACTTCAGTTAAATGTCGTTTAACTGTCGTATATTATATATATATATATATATATATATATATATATATATATATATATATAATATATATTTTAGTAACATAATATAGTATCTCATTATAATGTACTTTTATTATCTTAACGTTATGTTAGAAAATGCAATGCCTGATGGATAGTCATCTCCATATAAAAAGATAACTTTTTTTTAAATTAGTGGCAGAAACCAGCTTCCATACATTAAGATCATGCAGTGAAGTTATAAAGTCTTTTATTGTCAACATTCAAAGCAATATGATAACTCTTCAATTAAATGCTTTACAACATTTAATTTCTCTTTGGGATCAATAAAGTACTTCTCAATTTGAATGTCTTCTAGGGTTTCAAGATCAAAATGGAAGAATCTACATAGACCAAAACTGTTTCAAGGAAAGTAGTTTAAAAAAATTAAAAGAATAAAGTAGAGTAACAATTAGACAATGGATGGATGGATTAACGTCAGAGTTTAGAAAAATTGCTACATAGACATTTTACTCAGAAGGCTAAAGTGAGAGTAAGATGCAAATTATTGATTGGCTTATTTGATGTCAAGTGTGCTTACAGTAAAGTTTTGCTCATTTTCACATGGAAAGGAAAAATATCCTCAATTAGGCACGTTTTCAAGGCTGACTTTCTTCAAGTCTTTAATGTTGGCCCACTGTATAACTGGATCAGATACTCCAGTTCTAAATGGAGCATAGTTATCAGAAATCACCAAAACTGTCTCCAAATTTAAAATGTTTCCAAATTAAATGAGTATCAGTTGTTAAGGAGACAATGTTTACATCATGATAACAAACATCATATAAAAATTGATCTCTGTTCTCCTATAAAATCTTTGAATACAACAGTTTCCATTTGAGCATCTTGCAGATTTGGACCCACACTACAGATGCACAATGATTGCTGACATGACAACAACCCAGCTGCAGAGCGTCTGGGAGATTTTAAACATTTGTTTAAATCAGCTCTGGCTGGTCAAAGACTGAACCATCTACACACCAAACAAACTCAGAGCCAACACACAAACTCAAAAGAGGAAGAACAAAGAACACACAAGTCAACAGCATTCAGGTTCATTATATTTAAGAAAAGAAGGTACAAAAAAATGATTAAAATATTCACAAAACTACATTTTAATTTATGAAATTTGCACAGTGTTCCAAATACAGCAAGAAATTCTCAGGCTGATATTTTTTGCAGCTTTAAAAGAATACTTTGTTTCTGTAATTACGCTCCCACATTCATGATTTCTGTAGCTTATTGTAAATTTGCCTACTTGTGAAATCCAGAGATTTCCAAGTCCAGAGATTTTAAAATAATAAAAACAGGAGATCACCTCCAATGTTCCATGATTCCTACACGGTCCTAACAAAATAAGGTCTAAGTCTATCCTTAATCAACACATACTGGCACACAAATCTTCAGTCATCCACATTAGTTTTAGTTTTCCAGAGACGCCAGGCAAGTCAGGAAAATCAGGAGGAGGCAATACAAAAGCTGCCACTGCTTGCTGGATGAACTAAAGTGTTTCTGATCGTTGCTGCTGTCCATGAAGTTCTTGTCCTTTCTTCAGGCTGTGGTGTCTGTCGCAGCGTCAACAGGGCCTCAGCCTCCCACAACTACTGGGAGCTTGGATACTTCAGGGAAAACCTGTTAAATGCATCATAAATGGCCTGTCTGGAGGAAAAAGAGAAACATCATCTAATTATTTGGCTGACATAATGATGCCTAAAGCCAAGGATCAAAGAAAATTACATTAAGTGAAAAAATACATAAAAGCCATAACTCTGTTGAGGAAGCCAGGTCTTTGCAATGTAAAACACAAAACAAATAAATGTAAAAATGCATTTTCAAAACAAATGACAATCATGGCAGATTAATGAAATTCAAAAATTCTTTATTAATCCCAAAGGGACATTAATAATAAAATAATAAAATAACTTCTACATTTGTGGGAAGTTGCAATAAAAGTTGTTTTCAGTCATTAAAGGGGAATTATCATGTACAGTATTTCCGAGGCACAAAATACCATTTTTTAGGGTTACCCTAACCCTCACCCTATGTTGTGTTCAGCTGTAATAAAAC